ACCAGTCCCAGAGTCGGAAAATAATGCACGAAGTGGAATTCTCTGGGACGACATTCGTAGAGCATATCCAAACCATCGAAGTCGGTGTTTCAAGATGGTGACACCAATTGCATTATCGTCTCTGTGCCCGAACACACAATGCCGAACCTCTTCATTACTAACATGGTGTTGCCACTGGATGTCAGCAATACCTCGGAGACAGCGATGATCAAACAAAGAGAGTCGTCTAACATCCTCAACTCGGAGAGGCCAGGTTTCACAAGCATAGAGCAAAACTGCTCTCACCGACGCGTTGTAGATCCGACCTTTTACAGTCAGACTAACATCACGAAGGCGCCAAAGATGGACCAGATTGGCATAAGCCGCTCTGGCTTTCACTATACGTGCATTGATCTCATCACTCACGCCACCACCAGCACTTATGCAGCTACCTAGATACACGAACTTCTCGACTACTTCTATCTGCTCACCAACCAGGGTGAGTACAGGATTAGAATCTTGCCAGTCTTGTAAAAGTACTTTGTACTTCGAAGGTGCAAAGTGCATATCATAACTATGGACACTATATTACATCCATTAACTACTCTCTTTTATTCTCACTCCAGTGATATGAATTAGTGACATATGATATTCAGAATAAACTTCTATTTCTAAAATTTAAGTGCGGAATTCTCACTGAAATCTCGGTCTGAAGTAGATATTAATAAGTTGATTTGCTCACCAATATTTTAAATTATCTTCAAAAAGAGATAAAACCGGATAAAAAATGAAACAACGCACGCCGCCAATGCTAATGATTTGAGTTCACAAAATATTGTTCCCGGACCCCTGAGACCACGCTCCATACTATATGTCGGAGCTTTCAATGTTCGAACCTTTTGTCAGATAGGACAACATGCTTCTTTATTTGGGAGTAAAATCTCACACCATTGATGTATATTACGTCCCCTAAACGCGCATACGAAATCCACGTACAGTTATTCACTTAATCTCACCTAGTCGGTGGAAAGAACCGGGGTGACTTACTATCCGTGTATCCCGATCAGTCAGTCAGAAACAACGTGAAACTTCGTACGTACGTACACCAGTTCGAGTTGCCATACCGCATTAGCACAGAGATTCAGTTATCGATTCAAATCCCGTAGTGGAAGAGGTAGTGATAGGAAACATTAGGGTTTGATGATGTTATTTAAGGAGTATAGTCCAGTGGAATAGATTTGGAAAGAAAATAAAGGACATGGAGAATTCAGAAGATTAGAGTTTGAGAGAACACAGAGAGTGGACGCACCTGCGCCATTGCAAACGATTTTGAGCCATGTCATTCAAAGTCTCTAACCATCGGTTGCTATCATCTCGCGGTCCCCAACCAAGTAGTCTACACTACTTCGTCAATTGATTTGCCATCATTACCTAGTACCCGTTTCCTAACAACTGCATTACTTACTCGGTGGTCCCAGTAGTAATTATCAGTGATTTGTGTGAAGGCTGAAATACTGCCCGGGTGCCTAGGCCGAAGCAAGGTTTTAGGAACGCTGTCCGTGCTTGCTAGGTCTTCCATGTATTTCAAATGCTCCTGTACCCTTTCTTCTTCGTTTTTGTGTATTCGGCCTGTGCATTGACTTTCTCTCTTCTCGTAAATTACTGTCTTCTTCTTCTTCCTTTCTTGAATCCTGTTCAGGGTTTCCATAGAGATCCATTCTTTATGATGACGTTTCTTGCGACGCAGAACCTCCTGACACGTTGAAGTTAATGATTCTTTAGTCCACTAATAGTTGTCCTCCATAGCAGTTTCTTCTTTCAGTAGATCCTGTAAGGCTTAGAGCCTGGTGCTGAGAGTTATCTTGAATTCGTTGTTTGTCAGTATCTCGAAGGAAGGCTGTATTGAAACTTTGTAATGCTGTTTTCCCAGTTGTCCAGTGTTTATTTAGCTTCAGTTTCATCTTGGCAATCTCCAGATGGTGATCTGAAACTATGTCAGCTCGTCTCCTGGTTCTCACGACTTCCACTGTATTTTTGAATTGTTTAGTGATACAAATATGATCGATCTGGTTCTTCGTGATATGATCCGGTGAGACCAACTATGTATCTTTGTGTGGAAATATTGTGCCGTCTATAACCGATCTGTTAAATGCACATAAATATGCAAATCTGTCAAAATTCTCGTTCCTTTCCGTCAGTCCATGTCGCCCCATGATATTTTCATACACGGCGTTGTTCACCCCGACCTTGGCGTTTAAGTCTCCCTTCAGGATGGTCAGGTCCTTTCCTAGGCACTTCTCTAGAATGAAGTGCAGCTCCATAAAACTAATCTCTATTATTTTCGCCGTTATCGTTGGTGAGTGCGAAGCGCTGGATGATATTCACTGTAATACTCTCCATCTTTGTTTTGAAGAATGCTTTGACGATTCTGCATCTATGAGCTTCTAATCCTTTTCATGCTTCTTTAAACTGTATATCCACCGAAGCTAATCTTGTCTGTTCAGCTTGGGTCCAATGTATTTCACTTATTTTGAGTACCGCCAATTTGTATATCGTCATTTCTTTAGCTACTCAACTGGTCCTCCCAGTCTCCTACATTGTCCAAACATTCCAGGTACCTATATTAATTGTTGCTCTGGTCCTCATGATTTACGAAGAATCTTGGCTTTCTCCATCAGGCGTCATTATACTTCTAAGTGAAGACCCTTCAACTCCCAGGGGAGAGCTCAAATAATTTTTTCTGGTGAGCGTTGTTTTGTCACGGTTGCTCTCCATGTGATGAGGTTGCCTACTTTGAGCCCAACCTCCTTCTTTATCCAGGTTTGGAACCGGAAGTAACCCTAGGAGGGCTGCAGGTGGACTGTTCCAATATAATTCAATGATATAAAGAATAGGTGGGAGAGATACATGATTGCTTCTTGAATGTAATGGAACCACAGCATAAACCCACTTCCATACTGTGCAACAGCTAAACCGAGAGCGCTTTGTTCCAAATTAAAAACTAGTTATTATTATACATGCAATGGACAAAGCCTACTATCAAACTCAACATTTGTCGTACATCGTTTAAAGACAGACACGTAAAATTACGCTAAACGAAAACGATAATAAATGAAAATGATTAATTTACTTGCCAATATCCAAAATACCGACAAAAGGTCTTAATTTTAGTGTCACGGGAAAGTGAAGTGAGCCACAATGGAAAAAAGAAGCCTTCACAAACTACGAAAGCTATTTTTCGGGACGTTATTGTATTTAATTCAAAGCTTGTAAAACATCAACACTTAGTTTTGTCCCTAGTCTATTCTACAGATCATAAGCTTTTGTTTGATGTATGATTCACTGCCATAGCCCTTTTTGTTCCAAAGCTATTGTAATTTAGACGTCTTATTTTTTACACTATTTTCCACGCTAATCTCCAGTTTGGTTCTCTCTACCCCACTTCGAACCAACGCGTACTAGCCTCAAGGTTAAGCCGGTCAGCCTATCGCGTCAAGCTCTTAATCTAGATTAGACAAGTTATCCTCAGTACCAAAAGTGGGTAGACAGATCAAGGACGTAATAGAAGGCAATGACCGGCAAAAATACCGACCTATCAAGTTATATGATTAAAAATTAATTCAAAAAATATTAGGGCTGATTCAAATGCCCTTTCTTACTTTAACTGGAATCACAGCCAGCAGCTAAATGACAATAAAAATAATGTACAACCCACGACCTACCTGCAATAAGGACTTGTTCATTTTCTTCTGAATCCCACTTTTGTACTTTACGCCTAGCACCTTCCAGAATAACATATTGGAAGTTTTTTGGATCCGTCTGCATTACAATTGTACCAGCACAGAGATGGCAAGGCATAGAGAATTGGTAGATAGGAGTTGAGTGATACATCCCTATTTTCTTCTTTTCTGCATTATATCTGACACCCATACCGATAGGATTTTTGCAAGTGAGACACCAGCAATTGAAAGGCATTTCAAACCTAATAGTGATAATGCCTTGACCTGCCTTTCTCCCACGTTGACGTAGAGCATGTGTGCCATGGTATGAGTTGAGATTCCTGTGATGATTAGGATCGAAATCGGGAGGATAGTATTTATTTGTTCCTTTTCTCTCACCCTTTATAAATAAGAAGATAAATGAATTGTGACGGTTAGGAGTTGCTTCTAACAAAGTATGAAAAAGACAAACATCTGGTTGACCAGTAGAACGAAACAGGACCCTGCAATATAATCAATCGCGTTCATAAATCGATTTGAATGGATACGTATATATTTAGTCCATGTATATTCACTACAACTACAAGGGGGAGATAAACTAAGAGAAAAACCAAGAAAGTAAAAATGATGCCGACAACATTAAGAATTCGAAATAATAAGGGTTTAAAATAGGGTGGAATCAAAGTGAACTGTATGAAATAGTATTGCTTGAAATTTGAAAGGAAATAGGGAATGTATCTACCTACACCACGACAATCTACTTCAAATCGAACTAAGTAGCATTCGACAGCAGATACACGAGCTCACGCCGACTCGAAAATTCGCAAGTCCACTAGCCTTTCGTAACCTTATGATTTAAATTGAAGTAACACTGGTGTTCTTAAATCTATCTGGATATTATTCTTAGGTATCTCGGGGTGGGTATCACTTTTATGATTGTTTAGCTCGTCTACTTGTTCCTGAAAAATGTTCTTGATTTTTTCATGATTAAGTTGGACGTTAAGGAATTTTCGACGTCCAGTAAGACGTAGACAAACACGTGCTCGTACTAGAGCATGATTTGAGTCTAGACAAGTGCTCCAGAATGAGTGACATTCTGATGAAGTTTTGTTTTCTGAGCTGGATGGTTTGGTCGTGGAGCTTTCATCGTTCTTCTGAACGACATCATCAGCACAAACTTCAGATAGAAGTGAAGTGTTCGAATATCTCCATATGCGTTAAACAATTGTTCTGTGCACCTCGATGTTGATTGGTTCTTATTGAGCTTAAATTTGTCATTGTTTACTTTTTTGTTTTGGTTTTATGGGGTAAATCGAGGTGTGATATTTTGGGGGGCCAACCTTTTCTAACTCCTTCCTTCCGTTGCAAGAAAGCAGCACTGCTTCAGGTGCCGATTGTCCAAGAGAAACGTCATACTACTGTCACAACGCTCTACAATCAGCAGTACGACCTAGCACCTGACCCCTAATCTGCTGCTTTTAATCTCAACGTCCTCCAACAAACCTGCCTTGCATGACAGGACCCTGGGGGAACATGTATTCCAGCCAATACAGCTCCGTTAAGTCATCACAATAGGCAATCCCAACAACCACGTCTATTCAGCAGCTATGGTGGAGGGAGAACAGGGTGGTTTGATTGATGTTACTTAGACAACAGACTAGTTGAACTGTTTCTCGAAAATATATCTTAATAATCGGTGTCCTACCAGATTCACAGGCTGTTTCAGTGACACCAGACTTCATGCTTCTAATGGGATGGATGAGTTGAAACAGCTTTCATAATTTACCGAATGCAGCTGCTGTTTCTAACTCAATAGTACACTCAGACCACCAGGTTTCTCGTCCCGCACGCAAACTCCACACAACGTTCTAACGTAAGAATCCACGCTCATCACTGAAATCCCCGTTTCCTGGAATCGAGTGATGTACCTCAAAGAACTTCAAGGAGCCTGTAGAAACCCAAACGTCATAACTCAGATGCTGCTTGAAGCCGCTATTGACTTTACCAACCATTTTCATGGCATCATGCAAACGCAGCCAACGCTCATCTACACTTTTCGGTGGACCAACTAATACCATTGAACATAACTCAGTTTGATATTTTTTTAATGTAATGGAAGCTGAAGTCAATTTCCCCGTACCAATCTTTTTAGGATGATAAACTTGTTAAACACTCAAAAGTAAGATAAGCTTATGGCAAACCAAAGCCATCGTTAGAGTCCAGATAGATACCCTAAGAGAGGCGACAGTATTATATACAACCATCCCAGTGGTAGCTAATCAGGATACGCTCAAACTAAGTCTCAGCGTGAGTCTATGATAAAGGACGTCAGGTGGCACACCACAAATGAGAGTACTGTAAGTTAGTGCTGGTCAGAAACAGGTTGAAATTAGCGCAAAACTACAGGGGAAGGTCATTGTTATGTGATCTGCCGATTCACATAAGAGTTCTCTTTAAGCCCTGATTCCACCAACAGTATTCAGTTTATGTAGTTCTTAAGTGTCTGTTCATGATAAAACGAAGTCTATGAAGCACTGCATACGGTTCCCGTTGAAGTACCAAAACCTTGTGAAGAATACATATTTGATTATTTGTGATTAAGAAGTTTGAACATTCTTACAGCTCGGTACGTTCAAAAAGTCGGAACTCTCATGGCTAAAATTATACACAATCCCAATCGAACGTTTAGTCATGTGTTTTGAAATTCAGAAGTTCTCAATTGATCAAAGGTGACAAAATAAGTAGAATGTTCAACGTCCTCAACTATCGTACTCCGTATTCTAAAATCAAACATTAAAACAAGTACTTAAGCAGTCAGTCAGTCAGTCAGCTGCAACGTAGGACCAGGCACGTATATGCATCGGTCCAAGTTGCCATACCGCATTAGCACAACAAGATGAACACCGGATTCATAGGAGTAGTTAATTCAGTGGTGGTAATATATAGAAGAAAGATTGTGTATAAGGAGATAGTAAAGGAAGAAAGAATTAGTTCCTAGACAGATATGAAGCGATTTTAATCTCTTAATTTAAGGAAGACAGAGAGTGTATACACCGACGCCATTGTGATCGATTCTGAGCCATGTCACCAAGAGTCTCCAACCATTGGTTACGATAGTCACGCGGACCCCAACCAGGCAGTCTGAATCTCCCAACATGGCTCAGACCAGAAGTTAGTGACTTCAAGCACTGATGCCACGTTTTGGTTTGGCCGCCCCTAACTTTCTTCCAATTATCCCCTGCACTAGTCAGCATTGCGCGTCGTGGTAATCGGTGTTCAGGCATACGCAACACGTGGCCCAACCATCTCAGTCGATGAAGATTCATAACCTCATCAACTGATTTACCATCATTCCCTAATACCCTGCGTCTAACCTCACTATTACTTACCCGGTGATCCCAGCAGATACCCGCAATATTTCTAAGGCACCTGTGGTCAAATACTAGTAACTTACGAATATCTTCCACTCTTAAAGGCCATGTTTCGCAGCCGTATAGAAGGACGGAACGAACTGCCGCGCAGTATACTCGTCCCTTAATTGATAGACGGATATCTCGCCTTCGCCATAGATGACGTAAGTTGGCAAAGGCCAAGCGAGCTTTTCGAATCCGTGCTGAGATTTCGTCAGACACCAACCCATTAGGGCTGATCAGACTTCCAAGATAAGTGAAGTTGTCAACGCGTTCGACTACTTCACCCCCTATCCTTAGTTCGGGTGTTGACGCAGACCAGTCCTGAAGCAACAACTTGCATTTAGAGGGAGAAAAGCGCATCCCAAACATTCTAGCATTGTTGCTCAGTGCTACCAAAAGACTCTGCATTTCATCAGCGTCTTCACCAAACAGGACTATGTCATCTGCGTATTCTAAGTCAATAAGTGGACCTCCTGGTAGGAGATCAATACCCGAGAAGTCAGTCGATGAGAGCGTTATTTCCATCAGGATGTCTATGATAAAGTTAAACAAAAAAGGAGAAAGTGGACAGCCTTGACGGACGCCACTTGAGGTTGCAAAAGCAGATGACAGTTCGCCATAGGCTCTGACCCGACTAGTAGTGTTCGAGTAAAGAGCCTTCACAAGGTTTATGTACTTCTGAGGTACGCCTTTCAATGACAGACACTGCCACAGAACCTCTCGGTCAACAGAGTCAAACGCTGCTTTTAAGTCAAGGAATACCACCATTGTCGGACGCCGATAAGTATGCCTGTGTTCTAGAACCTGACGAATGGTGAATATGTGGTCGATGCAGCCACGACCAGGTCTGAAGCCAGCCTGATTTTCACGTGTTTGCAGTTCACGAGTCTTAGTTAGGCGTCCGAAAATTATCGAAGCTAGTATTTTAGATACTATATTAGTCAAACTAATCCCTCTGTGGTTGTCACAGGATGATTTTGACCCTTTCTTAAATATTGGGACGATAAGTGATTGTGACCAGTTAGATGGAATAACGTCTAACTCCCAGATTTTAGCTAAAATATTAGTCAACCTAATCGCTAAGACTAGACCACCATCCTTAAAGACCTCTGGGGCCAATCCATCTGGACCAGCTGCCCTTCCTCGTTTCAGATTAGCTATAGCCTTTTGAACTTCAGCTAGAGTTGGGGGACCTACTTCAATGTTCCATTCACACTGTCTGGGAATAGAGGGTAGTTGTAAAGTAGCTGAAGGCCAGCTAAACTGCTCCTTAAAGTGTTCCGCCCATCGTTCTAAGCGTCTGGACTGGGAGCAGATGAGAGTGTCGTCTTTTTCCGAAATGGTCTGACTTACACTTGATTTATTAATTCCAGTTTCTTTTATTAGTCTGTAGAGTTGTCTTGTGTTCCCTATAGCCGCCGCCTTTTCCATCTCTTTTGCTTTCGTTGCCCACCACTGCTCACGATCATTCCTTAGACTTTTGCTTAATCTAGATTTGATTTCTTTACGCTCTTCATCGTATTCAAAACCTGATGGGATGAGTTTGCGAGAATCTATCAGTGCAATAGACCTTGACGAAATCCATTGGTTTTTTGTAACCATTTGGTTTAAATCACTGGTAGATGTCACTGCTGTTTCCACAGCTGCTTGTATAACTTTCCAAGCAACATCTGGGTCAGTCTCGTTTTCAGAACTACCTAAGTGTGACCTCAGTTGTTCCTGGAACCTACTTTTGGCTTTCTCATTACTCAATTCGGTTCTAATGAGTCTTTTTTGTGTGGCTCTTTTGCGTCCAGTGAGGCGCAAGCAGATGCGTGCTCGTACTAGGGCATGATCAGAGTCCAAGCAGGTACCCCAGAATGAGCGACAATCTTCTATTGACCCTCTCCAACGATGACTGATGGCAATATGGTCTATTTGAGTCCATCGTTGGTTTGGTGCAGGGGGTCGCCATGTTAGACGATGTCTCTCCTTATGCTTAAAATTTGTGTTTGCTAAAAATAAACGATTGTCTGAGCACAGTTGCAGCAGACGATCACCATTATCTGTTCGCTGTGCCGGAATACTAAAATACCCACCTAAATGTCTTTCTGTTTTGTTTAAGCTACCTACCTGGGCATTAAAGTCACCTCCTACGAGTACTATGTCTGAACGTTTAGCTTTCTGAAGAAGTTCAGACAGCTTTCTGTAAAATTCATCTTTCACTTCATCCGAACTGCAGTCAGTGGGAGCGTAGGCAGAAACGACGAAAAGGCAACGACGTGTGTCCTTATCCTTCCGAGTTCTTACGGAGCCGTTTAGCCGAACAGCGCATAGACGACTGTTAACGGGGATCCACTCTAATAGCGCTTGTTCCGCCCTCATGCTAAGTGCTATGCCTACACCTGCCAGTCCACGAGAACTAGCCATCGGGTCGCCAGATACACGGAGGGTGTATCTCGTTGGCTCTCCGTTTTGCCGAGGTGAGGTCAAGTGAATGACCACACTAGGATCCTGTATGCGTGTTTCGGAGACACAGCATACATCAATGGTACGAGATTCTAAGGTTTTAGCCAAGGAAGCCTGCTGACCGATTTGGCATAGTGTGCGTACGTTGAAGGCTCCAATGTATAGTTTGGAGCGAGGTTTCAGTAGACCTGGGACAGTGTTTTGAGCACTAGAATCGTTGGCTGTGGTGACACTTGAGGAGGAAGCTAAAAGAGGAAGTTTAGTGTATAAAGTCGATGTAGGAGGAATAATAGGAATTGAAGAGGGAGGTTGACTATGAATACAGTGGTCTTGAGTGCTGTTAGAGGTACGAGGGCGGTTATCACTTCCCGGTTGCCCACACCGTGGAAGGGTTCTTCTGGAGGTACCTGAAAAGGAAATTGGATTAGAGTTGGTCATAGTGACCTGAGAGCGTGACCGCAGTGCCCAAGGGACAGCTGCTTGAGGTCGGTCACACACGACCTTTTTATGAGTGATTTTTGTGTTAGCTCCGTACTTGTTGAGTCCTTACCGCCGGAGACGGATATCCGTGGGATAAGGCGAGGTGTGCATTTTTAGGGTCGACCTTTTCTAACCCCACCCCTCCTTGTGGGAAGGCAGCATCGCTGTCATGCTGGTTGTCTGAAGGAAACACCTTACTGCTGTCACACCTCTGTACAGTCAGCAGTACGACTTCGCCTTCGGACCTTGGTTTTGTTGCTTTTAGTCTTACCGCTCTTCAACCGACCTGTCTGGCATGGTAGGACCTTGAGGAACGGTTGTTCCAGCCAGTATAGCTCAGTTGCTTCATCACGATAGGCAAGCCCGACCACCACGTCAAGGTAGCAACAACGGTCAGGAAGTACTTAAGCAACGCTGTATTTGTAAATATGAACCAGACCCAACCACTATTTTGATCTTGACTGAACACTGACCATAGGCAATGCACTGATTTGAAGAATCTTGAGAGGGAGGAATAGAGTTCTCCGTAAATATCGTCCTTTTCATACCTTGTATTATTGCGAATAACATTGGACGGGTAAACATATATTTATTTATTTGAAAACATAAATATTGGTACAAGAGGGCACCAAATATATATGCACAAAACAATGAGAATAGGAAGAGGATAAAGAAAAAGGTAAGGAGCGTGAAAGAAAAAAGAAGAAGAAGAACGACCAGATTAGTGTAAGGTAGTGTAATAATAATAATAATAATAATAATAATAATAATAATAATAATAATAATAATAATAATAATAATAATAATAATAACATGAAGGACAAACAGAAGCCAGTTTTGTACAGCTGCCTTTCATACCACGACACCATGTCATACACTGACTACCTCTCCGCTTTTCCCAACCAGTCCCAGAGTCGGAAAATAATGCACGACGTGGAATTCTCTGGGACGACATTCGTAGAGCATGTCCAAACCATCGAAGTCGGTGTTTCAAGATGGTGACACCAATTGCATTATCGTCTCTGTGCCCGAACACATAATGCCGAACCTCTTCATTACTAACATGGTGTTGCCACTGGATGTCAGCAATACCTCGGAGACAGCGATGATCAAACAAAGAGAGTCGTCTAACATCCTCAACTCGGAGAGGCCAGGTTTCACAAGCATAGAGCAAAACTGCTCTCACCGACGCGTTGTAGATCCGACCTTTTACAGTCAGACTAACATCACGAAGGCGCCAAAGATGGACCAGATTGGCATAAGCCGCTCTGGCTTTCACTATACGTGCATTGATCTCATCACTCACGCCACCACCAGCACTTATGCAGCTACCTAGATACACGAACTTCTCGACTACTTCTATCTGCTCACCAACCAGGGTGAGTACAGGATTAGAATCTTGCCAGTCTTGTAAAAGTACTTTGTACTTCGAAGGTGCAAAGTGCATATCATAACTATGGACACTATATTACATCCATTAACTACTCTCTTTTATTCTCACTCCAGTGATATGAATTAGTGACATATGATATTCAGAATAAACTTCTATTTCTAAAATTTAAGTGCGGAATTCTCACTGAAATCTCGGTCTGAAGTAGATATTAATAAGTTGATTTGCTCACCAATATTTTAAATTATCTTCAAAAAGAGATAAAACCGGATAAAAAATGAAACAACGCACGCCGCCAATGCTAATGATTTGAGTTCACAAAATATTGTTCCCGGACCCCTGAGACCACGCTCCATACTATATGTCGGAGCTTTCAATGTTCGAACCTTTTGTCAGATAGGACAACATGCTTCTTTATTTGGGAGTAAAATCTCACACCATTGATGTATATTACGTCCCCTAAACGCGCATACGAAATCCACGTACAGTTATTCACTTAATCTCACCTAGTCGGTGGAAAGAACCGGGGTGACTTACTATCCGTGTATCCCGATCAGTCAGTCAGAAACAACGTGAAACTTCGTACGTACGTACACCAGTTCGAGTTGCCATACCGCATTAGCACAGAGATTCAGTTATCGATTCAAATCCCGTAGTGGAAGAGGTAGTGATAGGAAACATTAGGGTTTGATGATGTTATTTAAGGAGTATAGTCCAGTGGAATAGATTTGGAAAGAAAATAAAGGACATGGAGAATTCAGAAGATTAGAGTTTGAGAGAACACAGAGAGTGGACGCACCTGCGCCATTGCAAACGATTTTGAGCCATGTCATTCAAAGTCTCTAACCATCGGTTGCTATCATCTCGCGGTCCCCAACCAAGTAGTCTACACTACTTCGTCAATTGATTTGCCATCATTACCTAGTACCCGGTTCCTAACAACTGCATTATTCATTATTTATTTATTTTAAAACATAGGTATTGGTACAAGGAGGTACCAAATACATATGCGCCACACGAATCTCAATTGATTTGTGTGAGGGCTGTGATACTGCTCGGGTGCTCAAACCGAAGCAGGTGGTTTTCTTAGGGGGCCACACCCCGAGCCTTTGACCTGAGCGTCTAATCCACAAGGCAGTGGAGCATCGTAAGGAGATTCAGTCCCATGGTAGCCGGTGACCAACGATGGGTTCATACGCCATTTGTTCACGCACGATACTGTAGCCCATGTGCACCATTGGTTTGTGGTCCGGTTAAAGCGAAGGACATTCGCTTTTCGTCCTCTCATTTTCGTAAACAACAGTAATGCCACGAGAAGGCAGTGAGTAAACTTCCCTGGCAGGGGCTATGTACGCGTGGCCATGTGAGAGCATTTCGAGAGGGAGAGCGGACTCTCCCCACTCTCGGCCGTACCAGGGCATTTGGGGGCAACAACTGCATTACTTACTCGGTGGTCCCAGGATATACGAGCAATGCTTCGAAGACATCTATGGTCAAATACTAGTAACCTACGAATATCCTCTACTCTTACCGGCCATGTTTCACTGCCATAAAGTAGGACGGAACGAACTGCTGCGCAGTAAACACGTCCTTTGGTTGATAGACGGATATCTCGCCTACGCCACAAATGACGCAAGTTGGCAAAAGCTAGTCGAGCCTTCTGTATCCGTACCGAGATCTCATCACACACCAGACCACAAGGGCTGATGAGACTTCCGAGATAAGTGAAGCGGTCAACACGCTCAACTACTTCACTCCCTATCACTAATTCGGGTGTCGATACAACCCAATCCTGAAGCAACATTTTGCATTTCGAGGGAGAGAATCGCATGCCGAACAGGCTTGCATTGTTGCTTAGAGTGGTCAGCAAACTCTGCATTCTGTCAGCGTCTTCACTAAATAGAACTATGTCATCGGCATATTCTAAGTCAACAAGCGGATCTCCCGGTAGAAGTTCAACTCCTGGAAATTCAGATGTGGAAAGTGTCATCTCTAAAAGGACGTCAACGACAAAGTTAAACAAGAATGGAGAGAGTGGACAGTCCTGACGAACACCACTTGAGGTAATCAGTTCTGATGACAGTTCGCCATAAGCTCTCACTCGACCAGTTGTGTTCAAGTAGAGAGCCTTTATAAGGTTGACGTACTTCTTTGGTACTCCCTTCAGTGACAAACATTGCCATAGAACCTTACGATCAACAGAGTCAAATGCCGCCTTAAGGTCGAGAAATACTACCATTGTGGGGCGTCTGAATGTGTGTCTATGTTCTAGGACCTGAAGTAGTGTGACCGTCTGTTGCAGCTATGTTCAGATAACCGCCTGTTTCTTGCAAACACTAACTTTAAGCATAAGGAAAAACATCTTTTAACATGGCGACCCCCTAATTCGTCCCATCGTTGGACCCAAATAAATCACATCGCTATCAGCCACCGATGGAGGGGCTCGATAGAAGACTGTCGCTCATTCTGGAGCACATGCTTAGACTCAGATCATGCTCTGGTGAGAGCGCGTATTTGTCTACGTCTTACTGGACGTAGGAAAGATGGTGCAAGGAAACCCCTTAGGGTCCTACTTAATGATAGTCAAGCTAAGAGTATATTTCAGGAACAACTAGAAAAACAGTTAGGCAGCTATGTAACTGATGCCCACCCCGAGGCAGCATGGAATGACATCCGAAAAGCTGTAGAAACAGCAGTGATGTCTGCAAGTACGGTAAACCATAAGGTTAGGGAGAAACACTGGATCTCAGCAGCATCTACCGCACTGATAGATGCTCGAAAACTCATTCCATATGGCTCTTAACATAACGAAGAGCGGAGTCAGCTTAAGCGTAAGCTGACTAGAAGCCTACGCAAAGATCGTGAACAGTGGTGGGTAGCGAAAGCAAGAGAGATGGAAAAGGCAGCGGCAATAGGTAACAGCAGGGAACTGTTCAGACTTGTTATGGAAACCGGTATTAGGAACCCAACTGTTAGCGAAACAATCGCAGAGAAAGATGGGCATATTATTCATTCTCAATCCAGGAGATTGGATCGATGGGCAGAACACTTTAGGGATCAGTTCAACTGGCCTTCAGCCACACTTCGGTTTCCCGCGATCCCCAGTCGACCTGAATGGCAAGTTGATGTAAGTCCTCCGACTCTTTACGAAGTTGAAAAAGCTATAGGAAATCTGAAGCGTGGGAGAGCAGCAGGCCCTGACAGGTTTACCCCTGAGATTTTTAAGGATGGTGATCCAGTATTAGCAGCGAGATTGACTGAGGTCTTAGGTAGAATCTGGGAACTGGACGTAACCCCATCTGACTGGTCTCAATCACTGATTGTGCCAGTCTATAAGAAAGGACAAAAGTCCTCCTGTGACAATCACAGAGGAATCAGTTTGACTAATATAGTGTCTAAAATATTAGCTTCAATAATACTTCGACGTCTAACCAAATCTCGTGAAGAGCAGACTAGAGAAAACCAGGCTGTTTTTCGACCTGGACGTGGTTGTATATACCAGAAAATCACACTACTTCAGGTCCTAGAACATAGACACACATTCAGACGCCCCACAATGGTAGTATTTCTCGACCTTAAGGCGGCATTTGACTCTGTTGATCGTAAGGTTCTATGGCAATGTTTGTCACTGAAGGGAGTACCAAAGAAGTACGTCAACCTTATAAAGGCTCTCTACTTGAACACAACTGGTCGAGTGAGAGCTTATGGCGAACTGTCATCAGAACTGATTACCTCAAGTGGTGTTCGTCAGGACTGTCCACTCTCTCCATTCTTGTTTAACTTTGTCGTTGACGTCCTTTTAGAGATGACACTTTCCACATCTGAATTTCCAGGAGTTGAACTTCTACCGGGAGATCCGCTTGTTGACTTAGAATATGCCGATGACATAGTTCTATTTAGTGAAGACGCTGACAGAATGCAGAGTTTGCTGACCACTCTAAGCAACAATGCAAGCCTGTTCGGCATGCGATTCTCTCCCTCGAAATGCAAAATGTTGCTTCAGGATTG